CCTGTCCGTCCTCCAACGAGCCACTCTATCTCTGGAAAAACCCACACCGACTGGATACTGGGAAGAAACCTTTCTCTGCAAACATGAGTCCAGTTTACCTCTGTTTTTGCAAGACGTCGTTCAAAGTTCCCACGGACCCTGAACTAACCTCTGTGAACTTCTTGAACCCCTCTTACTTCCAGTTCCGGTTCACCAGCCCTCGGGGTTTACCTGAATCCAACCCATTTGGACTCCTAATAAACCTGTTCAACTTTTACTCTGGTTTCTCTGAGTGGTTTCCTGCATGTGGGTCAGATCTCTTTAAAACATCATGACAATTCTATCATTAAGTGACAAACAGAAGGGAAAAGAGAGCAAACCCAAAGAATAACAGCCTGGTGGTTGATGTAAACTTTGATATGGAATGCATTAAGATTGTGGAGAAAAGATGTTTAAGTTAAATCAAGACAAAGAGAGAGACGAATGAGACCAAGGTGTATGAGACATCACTTCTGAGCATCTTATTGTTCGCAGAGCTAATGCATAGATGGACAAATGACATCCCCGCTAATCATGTTCACAGTTGAGATGAGGAAGTAAGAGACAGAGGGGGAGAAGCTGCTCTGCAGAAGCAAGATAAAGTACGGCTGAATGAGAGGAAGACAGGTGGAACATAGAAGCTTTGGTCATAAAGGTGCGATGAGAAGAAGTAGCTGCAGTCAACCACCGGAAGATATGGATATTGGACTGAGAAGACTGATGTGACGGATGGTATCTCTATCTGGTAGAGGTGCTTGAAGGACACACTATAAACCCAGGATCAAGATAGTCTGGGCAGACCAAAGACAGTGTCTAATTTGGGTAAAAGAGTGTGGATGTAAAGCTCACATAAAGGAGGAGAAAAGTGGGCCTAAAAATGTTAATAGTTATAGTGATAGAGAATAAGCAGTGGCAGAGGTGTCAAACTGGTTCCAGGGAGGGCCGTGTGGCTGCAGGTTTTCTTTCCAACCAAGCGGTAGCACACCAGACTGCATCCATCTCATCAAGTCAGTTGTTTTTATTTCTTCACTGATTAAGTCAGTCAGTTGACTTGATGAGATGGATGCAGTCTGGTGTGCTACCGCTTGGTTGGAAAGAAAACCTGCAGCCACACGGCCCTCCCTGGAACCAGTTTGACACCCCTGATAGCGGTGGATGCTGAGTGGAGGAAAGAGAGGCAGATGACCAGC